TTCCCCAAGGACCGCTACAATCGACCAGTTGTTGCTCAGAGAATGAAATACTAGTTCTCTCGTTTTTCATATACTGTCCCTCCATAGTACCGGTTGTTGAGAAAGCCCAACAGGAACCACAGTTTCCCTTTTCAAATCAAATCATCATCGGATTATTGGGTGTTCACAATCTATACTCACCTGATCTTTCACCCCCGTCACATAACCAGATTCACGCCAGTCAATTTTGTTGGGTACGGCACGGTTGCTCGCCTCATACGGGATACCGTGTGAGAGTATATCGGACGCGCGTGGCATTTCGGTTAGATATTTGGCCTTGAATTCCTCGAATGTCAGATCAGTGAATTGGTTCAATCCCAATGTGTAGGTGACGAGGCCGAGATCGTGACGTAGGTTGTGTTCTTGAATATGTTTCACATTCTCTTCCCAAATATTTCGTCTGTGCTCATCGTCAGCCCCATTGTATTCTTTATTGTACATTCGCTTCCATTGATGCCACAAATCATCATTCGAGCCAAGCACTCCGACCGTGAGGACGGCTAATATGAACAATCGCATTGTTTGCTTAGTAGCGGTCGTTCTGTCTAATCAAGCTCAGATTCTCCCATATGTATATATATACATATATATATATATATCATACATAAATTTATGCATACATTAAAGCCCATAGTTAAGATGTACAAATTCCAAACGACGATCTGAGCTACTTTTGGGCATTGCTTTGAGAGCTGTAAGATTAGAGATGGTAACACAGTGATTGTGACGCTGTTTGATGTTCAAAGTTCAACAAACGCAGCAAGTTAGTCCATTCTTTGATGTATAGAGTATACGTGAACGTGTTTGCGCAGATCCACTGATACCATGATTGAAGTACCAAAAGTATTCGATCAAAAGGTCAACATCTAAGAAAACCACGCCCATCTCAAAATGTTTGGGAAAAGTATATCCATTCAAACATGGCAAATTGAGTCTAATTTTCATACTGTTCTCGTATTCATACAATCGATGCGAGCTACTGAATTCTTTACATCAATGATTAGAAACAACTTTGCCATTAGTTTTTCAGGTGAACCAGTCGTTGTGGAGCTTGCTGTGATGATTTCCAAATCGATATTTATCACTTGTCTTGTGTTCCTTCTGGATAAGTAACCCATACGAATTCGCGAAACGATCAAGAACACTCATCAGTTACATAGTGAAAGAATATTCTGACTTTCCAATAAATACTCACTGATTTGATGTACCAAACAAAAGTTTCTCTCTTTACGCATTTATGAATGCAGTGTAGGCTTTCATATCATACCTTGCCCTGACGGAAAATCGCAATCATTCTTCGCGACGGAAAAGAGATTTTGCATCCGGACGAGTGTAATTCCTATTCATGGTCACGAAATTGGCATTCACATTGTATCTTGACAGCCCCGACTCTCCTTTAGGAGATATAGCGAAGTATATACAAAGCACAACCAAGCAACAAGTCACGGTTGTGTTACATCTAGAATATAACCCAAGTGATACACCACGCGACAAACGTGTTCTACTCTCATCTGATTCGGACTCGTGGATGCACTTATATTTTCTCCAAGTCTTCCGACAGAAGAGATGATTAGGGGTCCTATTTTTTATTTTATTACTGAGTCACAGCTGACAAGTTTGTGTTCCGTTGGAAAAGAATTCGGAGTAAAATTGCTAGCAGAAACGTGGGAATCAATATTGACCAAGATTTCTGATCGCAAAAAAACATTAGATCCATTCAAATCTGAAAATTATTCAACGATTTCAACACACATTCTGGACATGATTCTCATCAGAGGCTGAATCATATTTTCTCAGATGATGTTCCATTTTCTTCGAGTGCCTACACGAGTTTGGTTGTTGAAACCACGTTTGATATGTTTATATATTCGACGAGGCATAATTTCTCAATTTTTATCAACCTCATTGAGACGAGGCCTGCCAACTGACTACACCGGGTCACTGGTGCAACGAAACACTGACCACGTTTTGGTTACATTTAAGTTCTGAATGGCTGTTTTATTGTACTGGAATATAGAATTTGGATTCATGGACCGATTTCTGCAGATTTGCGCTCCACAATTCTGAGAATGGAATACCTGGGACCGCAAGGTGACTGTAGCTAATGTCCGAATCATGCAGCCGACACTACAATTTGAATTGAATTCACGCAACCCATACCGCCGTTTATATTTCGCATGATAAATTCGTGATTCATTGTGATTTTGAGTGCCAAGTGGCACTGAAAATATTAACTGGTATCGATAAGCTGGAGGGATCATTTGCCGGGTATTCTTCGGCAGTGGGTACACCCCTCGAGATTCGAATGTCTAGTAACATTACTGGGCACGGTACCAGTAGTTAGATTTTGTCTTTGTCCGATTTTCCTCGAGAAAATTACTTTGCATTTTCCACTTGAGAAAACGGTAAACGACACCGGAATTTGTGATGCATGTATTCAAATGTGCCAATAATCAGCCCAGAAGAATTGGGTAGAGCTACCTACACAAGTCGAGTAGACAGTTAGTAGTATATAAACCGACATGAACTCGTTCATTATGAATAAACGAATCATGTTAGTCAATTTAATAGCGCTTTGGATAGAAAGCCAAGTGGAATAGCAACTTATGCGGTTTACTCTGGTATTTTCACTTTGGTCTCCTGAATGTGCGAGACTTCAATGAATCTAGTTTATTTGGAATGTCCATTAACGGTTCACGGATGATCGTGTCTAAATGTCCTATCACACAATGATGCTGACAACTTCGAATTCCAGACCCACGGATGAGTACAGTGGAGTAGGTTCAGTTCAGTTCATCAACCGTGCACCGTGCGGAGTGGCCTTGGTTGCTTTATCTCAGCGGCAACCTCAATCGAAAATACTTAATGCAGATGAGAAAGGAATGAGCTGTAAATTTTATCCAGTTCATAAATAAAGTTTTCGTACACAACAGCGCCAATTGTCGCGGCACCTAGTCATATTTCCCAGTTTATCTCACTACTGAGTGGGGAATCTCTTGGACCACTACAGGAAGTCAACCACGCCCCAACGGGCCAAGTTCACTCGCTGAGCTTTACATACTTTTCTCCCATGTCATGGACTGGTCACTTTTTTTCATCTTCCAACCATCATTACCTCAGAGAACATTGCTAGCTGAGTTATTCGACACGGGGACTTGCGCGGCGCATATCCCAACCACCTAAGCCTGATGAGCTTAAGTCTTTCATTGGATGATTTGGTTCGTGTGCCGAATACTCTGCGCTCAACATAAGCGTGGTTAATACGGCGAGTTCATCGGATTTGCACATGGATACTAAAAAAATCGGTATTCGAATACCAACAATCTTCGTGTGTCTTCCACCCTCAGTAGCCATGTTTGTGAACCATTCAGAGGTACTGACCTGACTGCTTCAGCGTACGCTCGACCCTTGTTAGATAAATGGATGTCTTGTCGACGGTTGGCCTGAAAAGAAGCAGTGGATTGGCAAACTGCTTTGTAAAGTAAAGATGGCTTGCTTTAAACTGATCGCAATCTTCTCGGCTGTGGATAGGATTCGTTTTCTGACTGCCTTGTAGTGGCTTTGTAAGTTGACTCTCCGTATCGATCACATAAGCCGAGATCGCCCTGGTGTCGGTTTTGTGGATTTTTTCGATGGCCAGCTGGGGCTGTCCTCCCAAACTGACTCATGCAGAAGCCTAGTCGTTGTTCCCACTTAGTGTGCTCCAAAGAATAATAATAATAAGAGATTGAATGAATTGGTAGTCTGTCTGTGAATCTCAGTCGCAAGTGCGGACTGGTGTTGAACGAAGGTGCGGAAATTCGTAGAGTAGAATGCATATCATACCACATGCGATAGTCGACGGCTCAACGTTAGAGATACCATGTCTCGCCTAAACGGAATGTTCATATATATAGGCTTATTCGGGACATCTGGTTATATGGGCTGACAGACAATGTCCATATTGAACAAGGACAACAATACACGGTGGGGTACTTCCACAGCATATCTGGCGCCCTCTGTAGAGAAATCGTCTTACGACATTCCGTGTCAAAAATACATGCTGTGAAAATGTGAATATATGAGACACACGCCTTAATGAGGAGAGAGATTTTGGTAACATTAACACTCTCCAAAAAAATATATGAATAATTACGATAAGAGATAACCAGGAGCAACACACCTGGAATATTCGCAGAGTGGACGGTGAGTTTCTGATGGTCTCTGTATCTCTAGCCAGAGGAGGTGTTGGAAGTACCATAATACAATGAATCGATTGTATGAATACGAGAACAGTATGAAAATTAGACTCAATTTGCCATGTTTGAATGGATATACTTTTCCCAAACATTTTGAGATGGGCGTGGTTTTCTTAGATGTTGACCTTTTGATCGAATACTTTTGGTACTTCAATCATGGTATCAGTGGATCTGCGCAAACACGTTCACGTATACTCTATACATCAAAGAATGGACTAACTTGCTGCGTTTGTTGAACTTTGAACATCAAACAGCGTCACAATCACTGTGTTACCATCTCTAATCTTACAGCTCTCAAAGCAACGCCCAAAAGTAGCTCAGATCGTCGTTTGGAATTTGTACATCTTAACTATGGGCTTTAATGTATGCATAAATTTATGTATGATATATATATATATGTATATATATACATATGGGAGAATCTGAGCTTGATTAGACAGAACGACCGCTACTAAGCAAACAATGCGATTGTTCATATTAGCCGTCCTCACGGTCGGAGTGCTTGGCTCGAATGATGATTTGTGGCATCAATGGAAGCGAATGTACAATAAAGAATACAATGGGGCTGACGATGAGCACAGACGAAATATTTGGGAAGAGAATGTGAAACATATTCAAGAACACAACCTACGTCACGATCTCGGCCTCGTCACCTACACATTGGGATTGAACCAATTCACTGATCTGACATTCGAGGAATTCAAGGCCAAATATCTAACCGAAATGCCACGCGCGTCCGATATACTCTCACACGGTATCCCGTATGAGGCGAGCAACCGTGCCGTACCCAACAAAATTGACTGGCGTGAATCTGGTTATGTGACGGGGGTGAAAGATCAGGTGAGTATAGATTGTGAACACCCAATAATCCGATGATGATTTGATTTGAAAAGGGAAACTGTGGTTCCTGTTGGGCTTTCTCAACAACCGGTACTATGGAGGGACAGTATATGAAAAACGAGAGAACTAGTATTTCATTCTCTGAGCAACAACTGGTCGATTGTAGCGGTCCTTGGGGAAATAATGGTTGCGGTGGTGGATTGATGGAAAATGCATATGAATATTTGAAACAATTTGGATTGGAAACCGAATCCTCTTATCCGTACAGGGCTGTGGTGAGTACTGCTTGTCTGTGCGCTCCTCCTCCGAGTCATTTTGCTTACACCTCCCGTCATTTTACCTCTTACTATGTTACACCAATATGATCTCACAAAAAATCGCTTCTGTTATTATCAACTACTTTACTCAATTCACTTATTATTTGGTCCCATTTCAGGAAGGTCAGTGTCGATACAATAGGCAGTTGGGAGTTGCCAAAGTGACTGGCTACTATACTTTGCATTCTGGCAATGAGGCAGGATTGAAAAGTTTAGTCGGTTCCGAAGGACCTGCTGCGGTCGCTGTGGATGTTGAATCTGACTTCATGATGTACAGGTACGTGCTTTTATGTCAGTCGGACGAGACGAATGATAAACTAAGTCGAGAGAGAGGGACAGCAAGGGAGAAAAGAATGAGAGAGCAGAGAATATGTGAGACAGATAAGTTATAGATTTTCAATTATCAGTTTACCGTTCGACTTTCCTCGTCATCGATACATGTGTGATGTACCAGCTTACTCGTATGCATGATTGCTGGATTTCCGGATTCCACACAACTGCCCACTGGATTTTTCAGACCGAATGACACTTGTGTTCTCTCCCTATGGAGTACAATATTCATCAAATTTGGCTTCATTCAGTTTTGACCAAACAGTTTGAACGTGCGTTTCACGGGCATCAAATGGGCTCGATAGACAACATTTGTTTTTTAATTGGCACAGGCAATCTATCTTCAGTGTTACACTAGCACAGTTGTAATTGTAATTGTAACTGCGGATCATGTGTGTAGCATATTGTCAAATAACACGTCGTACTTGGGATTTATGCTCGCCCGCATCCCGGTCACAAGTCGGTTTGGGAGAAGTATGATTTGAATTGCCCATTTCGAATACGTCCAATTGCACGCATATCGTGGTAAGTAGTTCTCAGTTAAACAGGCTTTTGTTTTCGATTCACATAGCGTAAGTGTTCGCTCTCTTTCATTCCTTTGTACTGTCAATCATTCTAAGCACCATTCCAATTCCAAACTTGCATTATCATATTCATATTTATATTGTTGTTTTCTGTTCAAACAGGAGTGGTATTTATCAGAGCCAAACTTGTTCACCGCTTGGTTTGAATCATGCAGTCTTGGCTGTCGGTTATGGGACACAGGATGGTACTGACTATTGGATTGTGAAAAATAGTTGGGGATTGTCGTGGGGTGAGCGCGGTTACATTCGAATGGCTAGGAACCGAGGTAACATGTGTGGAATTGCTTCGCTGGCCAGTCTCCCGATGGTGGCACGATTTCCGTGATACGTTTCTGTTATTATGAAAATGCATTAAACAATAAATTTCATTGAGCTTTGCTTCATTTTCTCTCCTACTACCGTGATTGGGAAATATCAATAGATGTATGTATATGCAACCGAACGAGATCGATATTTTCCCGATCCTCGTGCGTTTCGTTCACAATTGAAGCATGGTTTGTGAAATGAATGGTTGTCGCTATTCGTATACATACACACGGGATCAAGTAACAAACTATTGTTTCCAAAAATAACAGATTCCTTGCTACGGAAATTCAAACGATACATGATTGTTTGATTGTATATCCCGCACCTTTTAAAAATGAGATTAATAAATATGCACATTTGGAAGAGTGAACAGCCAGATTTCGATTCGATGTTTGTTCGGCCATTTCTGAGACAATTTGCTGCAGAACAAGAAGCACCAATTGTGAGGTTATCGACAGACGTATCACATTTGGACGGTCTGGTTCATTTACCAGATATTACATCTTTGACAGTCCATATTCCAGGGCAAGGCTGAACACAGCGAAGCAAATCGATACCTTGGCAGGCACATAGCACGTCATCACAAGCTCAGATCTGAGGACAGAATTGAAACCAGGGAAGCGGGACAATTAATCAATCAGTTGCATAGAATTTTCTTAACCGACTGAGGCCGAGTCAACCAATTGGGTTGCAAGTAGATTGAATGGCCAGAAGAGCCGTTCATGAATAACAAATGAATCGACAAGTGTTTATGCAAATGTTTGGCTATGATCACCACGCTTCTGATAATAACCGTCTGTTGGTTCCAGTGAAATGAGATTGTTTAAAGGCAGCACGGTCGATTCACTAGACTTAGTGAGGCAGAACAAAAGACAATCATTGCGCAATAATCAAACCTCAATTCTTCTTCCATCCACAACTCTTGCGGTGCTGCTGCAACAGCCTCAACGCCAGGAATAACCGTAACTGCAAGGCCTAAAGTTGAAAGAATTACTGAGTACTATTCAGTTGTTATTACTCATCTATCAATTGCAATCTGGGACACAAACACTGATGCTACTTCAGTATGACTTGTTCTAGATTGGTGCATTTCCACGCACTGAGGGGAATCTTCCGCCTCAATATCTCTTCCAATCTGTTTCTTTGGGCATAAAGAGGAATGTATGTTGAAGGTCCAAGAATGTGAAGAGAAGTGTCTACACGGTCGAAATAATAGCCACAAAGGTCCCAATATAGTCCCTTTGAAACACCCAAAAGACATGGTAAGAATACTTTTGAACACACCAAGAATGCCGTGGGACATATTCTTGAATTTTTAATTTCGGCGAACCAACATTTTGATTTATTTTTGAATGTCAGTTCAATAACTTTCCTTAACTTCCGTTTGAACAAAGCATCGGATTGGGATACGTCCTCAAAAATAAATGGGACAACGCAGTCACGAACAGGCACGACAAGGTTGCACTGTCTCCTCCAGTCCTTTTCAACGTTCACACACGGGATGTTCTACGGAGTGCTTTGTCTGATCTCCCAGCTGGTGGAATTGAGCTCCTTCCACTTCGAATATGCCCATGATATCGTCATGATGAGTGACAATACACAGGCAGTTGAACGCGCTCTGAACCGACTGGTGAGTCAGTTATCCAGATGTGGTTTGCGTTTTGTGTCTCCCAAGTGCGAGATACGTTTACAAGATTGGTAGCAGCTTGTACCTGCACTCATTCTTAAGGGTGGTCAGTTAGAGTTAGCTGACAAATTTGAGAATCTCGACAGCTAGATAATAACCGAAAATCGTGTTGGGGAGAAAATCGAATCACAAATAGCGAGAACTACAGCAACTTTCGAAAACCTGTGATACTTGGGATGTCGCCGCGTCATCCGGCTCACTCGTAATGGACGAGTGTACGTCACCATGGTTCTTGGTGCCTAACTCTACGTTGATGAGACGTGGCCACTTCGTGTTGAGGACACTCGGCGTCTTTCTGTGTTCGACAACCGATGCACCCGAAACATTGCTCGGTTCTGGTGGGATCATCGAGTGATCTCCTTAGTGGATTTCCTCAGTAACGGATCCACCAACCCGACAAACTGACAAACTATCTATGTCTTATCTGATCTGTTCGGCTTTACTGAAATGTCAACCGCATTTGACCTCGTAATATACTCTGAAGCTCAGATTGTGGTTGTCTTCTGTTTCCATCTGATTGAAGGTCCTCCAATCGGATCGCATGATGAAAGTCTATATTCAACGCGTACGATACAACACAAAACGCCCACATTGGAAATTGAACAATTTTTGAGACGTGTCACGTCTGCCCTTATGTGGCGGATGCGTCCTATAAAAGACTGCACCATATTTGTTTGACAATGCGCCACAAGATATCAGAATAATGGTACCGATCATGGGGAGCCCTTATCAACGTTTAGAAGGTTTCATCAGATACCACCCTCTGTTCCATTCGCGATCACGCAAGGGCTCGGGGTCTAACGTTTGCTGTCTGTTTTAGTTAATTGCAAGAACGTCGACAATATAACATGTGATATCAGAGTTTTGTGCCCAAATTAGATCCAAAACCTAGATAACGAACTCCGTGACTGAGGAGTCATCTAACTTGGCAAAAGTACATGTTGAGTGGTAAGGTTCTTTTCATGGAATAGAACTGTTATATTATTAATTTACCTATATTGCCAAGGACAAGGTTTCACACAGGTTTCACAAAGGTAAAGAAAGTGTCACATACATTCCCGCTTGCGTAGGTCTGACTTTCATTGCCTGATTGCGCCCGGCTCAAATGCACACACTTTATCATAACTACCGAATTCCACTATCAAAGGTGGCGTGAACTAATCCGGCCTCGCCGACTCCCGAGAAGTTTCATATGCATCCGTTCTGCAGTTGCACAGACAGTGAAGCCAATCATCCTTCACAGTAGCTTCTAAATTTCATCCGTTCATCTGCATCCCAAGCAAGGTTCCCGGGTGGCCATCTTTATAACTGAATATTTAGGGTCGGAATCAAAACTGTCAGCAGGTCCAGGATGCGCTACATGCTAGTACCAATGACGAAAATGACTCCGATTTAGCCAGCCCTCAAGAAATTCATATACTGCTTACGTCCAACATTTCCTTATACACTCGTAGGTCTTTCACTACGTATGCGAAATTCATTGTTTTGCATTAACCCCTTAGTGGTCAGCTGGCTGGAAGCTTGAGGGATAACTGTGAAATGTGCAAAAAATTAGTAGTCCTGGGTTTTTGGAAATCTCCGGGATATTTACTATTTGCTTGGAATTAACGGCCGGGGAGACCATATGCAGGCAAATTAGTCAAGGGATCAAACGGCTCAACACTGCCGCCATAGGAACTACATCTGTATCATTAAATGGGGCAGTTGGATGATTGGATTGTTTGGCTTATTTCCACTTAGAACCTTTCCACAATACTCGCAACAAAGACCGTGCACTGAAACTGCATGCTTCCATCACAAATGCTGTTTATTCAAAGGATATGTTATTGTAAAAGTTAGAAAGCTGGCGAAACGGATGGTGTGTCGTAGTACACTTCCGATGATAGAGGCGAAGCTTTTGTGTTGCAATCAAGAAGGCTCCTCTGAGAAATTTGGCACTTTAGGGAGATTCACAAGAAATGATATGAGTATATGATTGCATCAATTAACGGGAAGATTCTTTGGTTCTCTCGTGACACCTATGGAGGAATTAGCTTCTTCAATATAATACATAAACTACTAGAAGGTATGCACCGAAGAAGCGACCAATGACAGGAAAATGAAGGAAGAACAAGTTCAACAAATCTGAGCCGATTGTGTCTGACAGAGTCTTCATATTTACTCCGGATTTTGTGCTCGTCGATGATTTTAGCAATGTATACATTCACATCTTTGGAACAACCGTTTTTTAAATCTATACCATTGTGGGGGTTTTATGTTTACTTACTCCCCGGAGTTTCTAAATTGCCGTAGACATTTTGTTATCGCGCGATTGTGGAATGATCGAAACGTACTTTCGACGAGAGTAAAGGTTTATTGAATTATTGGACCAAGAACTTCAACTCGACATATCGAGGATCTGCGTTAAGTTGGTTCAGTCCAGGTCCCGTCCTAAATGTATCTTGTATTGACCAAACTCTTTGCTTGCCTTTCATGCATTATCACTACTAAATTCAACACCGATCATAACCTTGGCTTCCACAACCGCGCAACCATTGTTTTTCAATCAAGTTACTTCATGTCGTTCGTTTCAATCTCGTCTTTATGACAAGTGTCGAAGTACCCCAATTCTCATGAGTCTAGCAGTTGTTCTTACCTGTTCGAGTTTATCGTTTACGTAATCTTCCCCACCCCCCAAACCCCGTCGGTCTTATCCGTGTGAACGACTGGACTTAGCCGTCTCCCGCTGATCCCGCTCTTCTCGATAGCCACGCTAATGCGCTTGATCGTCATCCGCGTTTGCGTGTGTGTGTGTGTGTGTGTGTGTGTGTGTGTGTGTGTGTGTGTTACCTCGAACCATTATCTCTCTTCTGTTCGCTGACTGGCTAAAGGGCTCCCATAAATAGGAACCTATTTCGTAAGCTACTTGACTCCTTCTTGTTTTGCAGTCTCGAACGTTCCCTATCTATTATCGATTGAGCATCTGGAAGCATTTCTCGACATTTTTGATTCTGTGGTCGGTTTGTCCATAACTTGAGGTTCAATTCTGGCTCGCGGCGTCAGACTTCTCGATGAGAAAAATGCAACTGGATTTTCCAACATGACGTGAGGTATGTTATCCTTATTGTCTGATAA